ACTTGAAAAGGATAAAAATAACAGTTTGATGCATTAGATTATAAAAATCAAACATTAAAATAGTTATTAGTTCATTAAAGTTACTTTTTATATTATAAAAGCAATCATGAGGTTGCACTTTTGAACTTTACATATCAGGTACAGGACAGAAAAAAACCATAGAGTTCAAAATATATAAATCAAAGCTAAACTTTAACTGAACAAAAAACATTTTTTGATGAAGAATTAATAAAGAGTAAAAGCCGAACATGTACTAAATACCATGTTGCAATAGAGAAGGGTTGTCATGATACCAGCATTTTCAACTTGAGTATGATACAAGCAATAAAAAAGATTTTTATCATTCTAAATACATGATAGAATAAAAAACTCATAAAAAATGATTCATATAGGAGCTATATATAGAGAGAACAATAATACTAATAATTAGGGGGCTAAATAAGGTTTGTTATTATATCAGTTACTGTGAAGAAAGGTCACCTTAGGGAATCATTTTTGTATCCCACTTATTGAAAATGTAGTAGCCTGCACACGATGGCGCTATAGTGCCACACATTGGTGCAACACAGGGCACAGCGTCCTCGAACAACTGTAGGTCAGACTCAACAGTGTGGTTCCGGAAGTTAAAATCCCATTCATTTTCTCCAGAGCGGATTTGATTATCAGCCATTACATGATAACCCTCCAAGGTGGACTTAACGAGATACCTGCGTGTTAGACGACGGTATATGCCCCCTAAGAAGACACAAGTTTGTATGAAATCATCCTCGTTTGAAGAAAAACATGGTTTATTTGCGATCCCGGCAAAAATAACTACACTACCCACAATCCCGTAGAGACTGAGGGGCGTCTTTGATTGGTGTTACCGGTGTTACCATGGAAACGCTTACCGCACTCGCGTATTTCGGCTGTCGGCTGCGACCACAAACTACAATATATTACAACATTTTTGTACAAACAATTTAAACACTACAAATACGATACATGTAGAAAGAAGGACGGTGTACGTTCAGAATATTTACAGCCTATGGTTCAGACAGAAGCGCATCTTTCCAAACTTTCGTTGTAATCGCAATGCATCATGGGACACGTAGTGCACTCCTCGTATAAATAATAAAAAAAGTATAGTGCCTTCGTGTTTCACGTGTTACTTCCGTTTTTAATCGGTTTTTTTTTTACACCTAATCAAATGTTTTATGGTCACCAGCTGGTCGGCTTGGTTCCAGGATTAAAAAGGTTGATCTGAAATGTCAAAGGAGGACTTTAATGAGAATATATTCAGGATTCATATCCGCTTGAGGACCGCTATCAGGGAACCCTTGGCCAACATTGAAATGATCAAGATTATATTGATTAAATATCAAGGAAAACGCCATCATGGTTTGCTCTACGGTCGTATACCGCCGATAGGTGTTTGTTTTACCCATGAAGCACTGTAAATGTTGTTATTAAACCATGTGTTGGGGTTAGATAGACACGTTACAGGCTGTGTGTTATGGCTGCTAAACGCACTAGCTGTTAGCTGTGTCTTCTTCTGAGAAGACAAACACAGATGAAAGCTGCTGCCATCAGTCAGTGTGTTGTGACACGTACCGTGTATGGTTAGAAGATTAGTCACCACCGGGTCTCAAACACCACTTACTTGTCCTCCTTGTTTACTTCAACACCGGTTCACGGTGCAACCTCCGCCCGGGAGGAGGAGACAGGCAGAGATGCTGCTGTCAGGGTCGTCGGAAATATATAAACTACAACACATAAAGCACAATCACACATTAAAACGGTAGGAACCTGTAAGCAGGCCAAAAACAAGCTGACGAAGCAGATCAGGGGAGCTAAGAGCAGCTACACTGAGAAGCTGAAAATACAGCTGAGCAGCTAACAGTGGGCTAATTGACGTGAGAGTTCCAAACCTTGTGACGTCACGTTGACTTCACAAAACCTAGGGGACCCCAGACATCCAAAACACATTATTTTATCAATAATTTGATAGTTTTTTTTCTACTGTGTTGCAAGTAAACACCCATTTAAGCCTATTTCATGTTATTTCTTATTGTGGACAGAGGCAAAAAAAAAGCCAGAATGAGATTTTAATTTTCTCAGTGTAAGATAGGTACAGCCAGGTGAGCATGTATTAACAAGGTTGGATACACATGATGCATGGATGAGATAAAGACAGAGATACTCCAAGTTTGTTAGTTTTTAGCATGGGAAACTAAAACTAAACTGGATCAGATCAGTAGCTGAATTCCGGCATAATGCTACAATATATTTTTATTGATCAATTATTTAAAATGTCAGGGGACCCCTTTTGAATTCCATGCAACCCCATATGGGGTCTGGACACCAAGGGTGGGAAAGCCTGCATTTAAAGCGTGTTTGAAAAGGGGAGTATTTAGTAAAGATTTGAATGTGGAAAATAAACATAAACCCTCAATGAAACCTAAAATAAATGTTTTTGAGGCATATGGCACTTTTCAGAGTTCAGACAAAACAAGTTGAAGGGCACAAAAATATTTAAAACAATGTCACAAAAAGCAAGATTAGCAATTAAAAACAAGTCTGAAATGGCTCTGTCGCCCCATATGAACAAATAATAAAATAATCAATAATGTTAAATGTTAGGTGACAATAGAGCGGCGAGCATCTGTTTCGCGGATTAGTGGAGCTAGACACATGACATCAATGGTCTTTTCAATTTGTCAGCAAAATAATTTATCCTCTTAAGTTTGAATGTTGAAACGGCTTCCAGTCAAATATTGTTTTTCTAATATGTGGATTTTCTTTTCTGTCTCTGTAATATCTCTGTTAAGGTAAAAGTCTTATTTTAAAACATTTATAAACTCAGACTACAGAACCCTCACATGGATCAGTGTTTAATTGTTTTGTATTGTATTGATGCTCACATACTTGAATTTTTTAAATATACTTAAAAAATAGAAATGAGTAGTTGGTGTAAACTAATAAGGAAGTGTTATTACTAACATAAACATTAGGTTGAAGAATGACGCTGGTGTACTTCACTTTTCTTATAGAAGGATTGACTGGTTTCATTAATCATGATTAAGTTATAAGATTAAACAAATTGCTTGTTTTTTATCTTTTATAAAAATCATAGTTTATGTTATTCATTAGATGCTTTGTTTACGTAGTGCAAAGTGAGGATGGTTGCATGATTTGTGTCTTTCTTCGTGTTAACACTTTCTGGTTCTGTTTTCTTGTGGTGTTTTTTGGAAGAAGCTTTTTTTCAGTGAACTAATTGTTAGTTTATTTTTTTAGGCATGTTGAAGATTAGAATTGTGCAGAAACATTTTATTGAATCTTCAGCCATGTTGTTGTTTAAGAGATGAAACATCCACAATTCACAGGCTTTTTATTTTTGCAGGCTTGTTATTTTTTTCACTCAGTGCAAGCTTTGTCCTGAATGAAATAAGAATAATAAGTCATTACTTAAAATAATAACATTGTTTGGGCTTGTAAGTTAGCAAAGGTTTATTCCATTAAGCATGAACTTTTTGAACACAGAAGTTGTTTTTGCAAAATCTGACCCAAACCTGCAGTTTTTGAGTACGTAGAAAAGCGTTATAAAAATCTAATGCATTATTGTTATTATTATTATTAAAAAGATAATGTAGAGATAAGTAAAGAAATGCTCCTACTGTCAAGAAACGTGAATACAATAAGATAAGCAATAGAAATATGAGAGAATATATCTATCTTAAAAGTATAAAGAACACAGAAAACAATGGATGAGGGGACTGTATAATACTTGTGAGGAGATCTGCCTTCCAGTCAGCTGTCAGTGAACGCTCACTCGTGAACCAGTCTGCCAACAATTATTAGAAACTGTGAAACAAATCATTAATCTAAAATCAAGTTCAAATCCTATCTAAAAGACACGTATGAGACCGTACTGTATAATCCAACCGTGCTTTATCTTTTATGTTCTGATTGATTGATTTGATTTTATTATTGTGTCATGCATACACAATATGCTCAGCCCAAAACAGGTCAACAAGACACCATTATTAATACAAAGAGACCAAAGACCAAAATAAACACTTAATAATAATAATAATAATAATGATAATGAAACAAACCACCATGATGTTTCTTCCAGTTCTAATGTTGTTCTGCTTTAAGTGTTTTACATGTGCCTTGTTGCATAGATGTATTGAGCCTTTATTGATATGCTGTTGTGTCCTAATGTAGGCCTTATTTCCGTGTTTTGTCGTCCTGCTTTTAGGTATTTTATTTGCCTTGCTGGGTGTAGAGTATTGCTGTCCTATTTTGATGCATGTCTTGTGTCATCTGGCTTTTAAGTGTCTTATATGTGCTTCTAGATGTACTGTATTGTTGTTCCATTTGAGTCTATTTTTCTGTCGACTATTGCTGCTTGAAATAAGTGCCCATTACTGTAGAAGTGCCCTATGTGTGCCCTGATAAGTGTACAGTATTGCTGCTCTGTTTTAAATACCTCGTGTGTGTATTGTTCGGTCACTCACCTAGCCAGGGACCTTACAGTGAAAAATGAGCCATGCTGGCTGAACTGGCACATCACAGAAATGTCATGAATGTGCATTGCTTCTTTGACTTGACTTTGAATGTAAAAAATAAAACAAAATAATGTAAGACCAACATATCGTACACGTTTCCTTAGAGAGTGGCTGGTCAATATGTATAGGCTATATGGGCCCCTTATTGATTCTGACAAGAGCCATTCTACATGATAACATGAACTTACTTGAAACACGTTTTGTTTTTTTGTTTTTTTAAGTAGGATTTTTATTTAGTTGGAAAATTGTTTTCCAAAACTTTATGCCAATGTTCCTCCAGTTAAATACACACTGTCAAAACTGTTGTTGACGTTTCTTGAAGTATTATTAGCTGCAGTTTTGGCCTCCCCCTTCCTCAGCTGTCTCATAAACAAACACACATCCTAAACAGTGAAGTCTCTCAGCCTGGGTTTTCCTCACAAGTCTCCGCCCCTGAAGGCTGCAGCCACACAGTCTTGGGGAGTGGTCAAGCCCGAGGAGCATCCGGGAAAGACGGAGGACCGCGCGCATCATGATCCGAAACCTCACCGCATGAAAGCGCTCACATCCCCATCTCCAGCTCTCATCCACAGAAAGGTAAGTCTCTCAGTGTTTTCATGTAGAGGAATTAGACAGCGTAGTGGTGTGACGTATTCACAGTCGGTGGAGTGTCTGACAAACTAGTTTACTCTGGATGACTGTTAGTTTACCTGAAAGCCCACGGTACTATAACACTACTTGTGATGCGCAGTAATCTCCGTACTTGGGTGTAAAATAATAAGTGCTGTCGGAGTCAGAGTTCGGGTTGTAGCCTTAATGTTTAATTGGGGAACTTAAATTCTGTCCGGATCATTAACGACGAATTGTACTGATCTCAGAATAAATCACAGTTTTTCTTAGTGGCACTTTTTTTCCCCAGCAGATTCAGTTTCACTTCAAAGTCTCAAAGTGTGCCTCACCATTAGGTCCTAATAACAGCAGAGGTCTTTTCTTTTTTTTTTTTTTTTTTTTCATTCTGCATTGCGGGTAGTATTTTTCCACGTCCGTAACGAGACAGGACTTTTTGTGTGCCACGGGCTGGGTGTGTTACAAACATGTCTGTTTTTGGATATCTGGGATTCAGACAAGTTTCCTGTTAGGAAGGGACAAGGATATGGCCTGGTCAGCTCCACTCAATGGCTGACTCATCCTGGAGGAAGACAGGATTTTTCCTAATACAAACTACAGGCTTCACTCCCTACACACACCCAAATGTCACCACAGGCACAGACACACACACACACACACACACACACACACACACACACGCACACACGCGCACACATGCACACACATGCACACACACACACACACCTTTACTCTGTGCATTGTTTCTGATTTTCTTTCTTCACAAAAAACCTATTAATGAAACTTTTAAAGGCACAATAGGTAGGGAGTGATACTTTACACAAAAACTTTACCTTAACCGCAGTCTGACCTATAATAGTAGGCTACACACTACACTTACTGTATTTCACTAGTGATGGTATAATGGTTATTTCTGTGACTCAAATAGTTCACAGGAGAGGCAGATAAGCATAGCAAACGGAACTTTGCCACTGCAACACTTTTTATTTCTAACCAATTAAACAGGCTGCATCTTCTTTTTTTAAAGGAAAATAAACTCTTTTTTTTGCCAATTCAAAGTGTAAGACATGCAAAATAGCAATAGATTGAACTAACGAGAGCTAACGAGATTGAACAGACGGGGAAGTGTCACCAATCGGATCTTACTCGCAGAATTATGGTGACAACAGGAGTACCTTTATCTCATGCAAGACAGACCGGACAGCCATCTGATGATGTCACTCGTCCTCCATACTTATTTTTCCTCTGGGGTCACGTTTGATAATGCGAGTTTCTGTGAGATCTCATGTTGTCGCTTCAAATGGAAGGTGTGTGGTCTTGTGGTCCGGTTGAATCGTCTAGTGTGTTCATTCGGAGGATTAAAATGTTAAGCTTTGGTTGAAACTGTCCTTATGTTTGTGATCTCTCACGTTTTTAAAATTGGTTAAGATTTGCCCTACTAGAAGTCAGAAAGTCTCCAAACATACTCTCTCAGTGTTGATCATTATTGTGATAATCTGTGTCTTGAGAGTTCTTCTTCTTCATGGATACACAATGTTGTTTTCAGGCCTTGACCCTATAACATATTTTTGGATCCTCATGTCTACATGGTAGAAAAAGATTCCCAAGAACATGTAGCAAATGTGATTTTTTTTTTGCTACTTGCAGGTTAACTGATTCACAAATTACATCTTGAGATGTTGTGGAGGGCTTTTATAGAAGACCACAGCATAGAAATAGTGAAGGAAAGATCGATATTTCAAAGCTCGACACATAAAAAAAATTTCACAGCCAGATGCAACTAGAGTTCACTGAGGTAAAAATTTCTTGTGGTTTGGATGATCTGAACCTTTAAAGTAACCCGTCAGTGCTGTACATTTTCATGTAAACATCCCCTGATCCCCTGAATACTGACACACGTTCCTGAGTTCCGGCAATTCATAGATCATTCATTACGCCAGTTTGCACATGTTTTGTATTTTTTCTTGTTAATGGAATAGATTGCTTTTTGTGGTTTCTTCCAGCCCATTAAATGTATTAACTGGTTGTGATAGGATCGTGCTAATTATGTTTTCTGGTGAGATTTTTTTCCTAAGTCTACATTCATCTTTTTCATCAACTCGGCCTTTTGTGTTTAAATGACACTGCAGCCCAAATACTGACAGACCCCTATTGGAAATCGGACGCCTGCATCTGTAGTAGTAAGCAGTCTAAAGAAGGTGACCACACAGAGTGTAAGCAGAGAGCAGCATCAGGGAAACCGCACCGTTTTTCATGCTGCTGCTGTTAACAAAGATTGGTTCTTCACAGTCTTTGAAGAGATGTATAGCTTGAAGACAGCGCGATGTATAAACAACAAAAAGGGCAGAGGTCTGGTTTAATTCACTTTTGTCATTGAACGTGTTCATTATGAAGCCAATTTACAATCATGTGGCTGTCTTAGACTTTGAAGTTAATGTCCAAACATTTGTCACAAGCTCTACAAAGCCAGTCGCTTGTTCTGTCTCATCGGTAATGACTTACAATAGAAATGTGCACTTGTCTTATGTTGAAGCTCCACTTAAAAGGAACTCCTCATTTTGAGGAAATATTCAGAATTTACTCATTCAAGCATCTGTTTAACCAGAATCCAAGAGAAAAGGTGGAAAGGTGAAAGATTCATGGCCCCTTTCGGGAGTTGGAAAAGAGACAAGATAATGCTAACCTTCTGTTTACCTTCAGCATGTTGTCATCTAGCATGAAGACTAACAGCTGGGAACGTCATTGGTTTTGGTATTTAGTCAACTTTGGTACACTTTTTTTGATCATGGTCTTTCATCATGACACTTTCATGGAAAAGAACTAGAAAAATGCATTTTGTTTCAAAGTGCTTGAAGCTAGTTTGTAGCTAGCTCCTATGTACATGCGGTTGTCTTTCACTGGCTCAAAAAACTGACCATCTATAGGTGTCTGCATGATTTCTGAGTTTCTGTTAAAGTAACTTTAAAAAAAAAAAAAAAATTTGTAACTGCTTCAACATTACCTGATCAGCTTAGACCAGCAATGTCAGAAGTTAACTTAGAAACTTCAAAAACGTAATTGAGCTATCTGCATGGCTAGCTCCTGAAGTCAGCCGTCAGGACGGTGACCTACAGTTTCATCTCCACCTCTCCTGAACCCTTGAATGGCATTGTCATTACTTTATTGTTTGCTGCTATACAAAAAAGGGTAAAAAAAAAAAAAAAAAAAGGTTAATACAGTGGCATGATGTCTCCCCAAAAATTGTGTATTTACTGTTCGATTGGTTAAGGATGTAGACATGCCTTATTACAGATATAAATGCTTACAACAAAGTACACTGTGGCATAATTTCTGTATAAACTTCAAAAATAACATTAAGGCTCAATAGTCTATACAGTCATATTAAGTAAGTCAGTAAACATCCACTTTTTGGGCTGTGCTAAAACAGGCTGCATTTACTTTCTTTACATTTCAACGTGGCACATTTCCTTTTTTGTGTGTGACTTTGGACATACACTTTTTGACTCCTAAAGAATTATACTGAGAATATGTACCACTCTAACAGCCATCATGGTGAAATGGATGTTCACCATCTTGATGGTATTTAAATAAAGTTAAACTTGGCCTTTTTAGTAAACATGTTGTTCAGGGTGGGGGGGGGGGGTGAAATGTTTCCCCTTACAAGGAGGGCATGACGGAATAAGTTGAAGAACCACTGTCCTACTGTATTGGAACACCTGCTTTGAGCTTGATGTTTGTAAAACAAGTTTGCAATCAATGTGGAAAAAGCTAACGCTAATAAGGTATGATATCAAGTGTTTTCACCACAAGTCTGCTAAATTTAGCTGATCAGAACCCTACAAAAGGTAAATCTGAAGATGACTGGAATTCAAATAGTTTGTGCGGATATTTGGGCATAAACCAAATCACTGGGAACTTATGGTTTGCCAAAGTTATTGTTGCTCTTTAGACATGAAGGCAGGCCAGACACTATTGAGTGTTTTAAAACCGACAATTCCTCATCCTTAATTACATCATTGTTTCGCCCCTATTATGCCAATTCCGTTTGTATGACCTGGAGGTAATGTGGAACATTTTTCCTCTTTCTTTTCTTTGTAACAGGCATCATGATTCCCGTGATGGAATTCCGTCAGTTCTCTGAACAGCAGCCGGCGTTCAGAGTCCTGAAGCCGTGGTGGGATGTGTTTACTGACTATCTGTCTGTGATCATGCTCATGATTGGAGTGTTTGGATGCACTCTTCAGGTCAGTAACGATGCTTCTCCATGATGTCTCTACTCAAGGGAGCATTTAAATGTGTGCAAAGGTTTTGTAATGGCTTTTGCTTCCCCTTAAACTATTTCCATCTCATTAAAAGGGAGGGACAAATGTAGCTTATTATGTAACATTAGGAGTTTGTGCTACAACTTGTGTATGAGATAAATTAAATATCGAGTCATTGAAATGAGAATGAGCCCATAGTCTCTGTAATACAACATAACTGCTGTGCCGCCTGCACTGGCACCAGCTCAGAACAACTTTCCCCCCCATTTTACAACCTGGACTGTAATGTAGCAAAAGAAGCATTCAGCCCATCGGTAGGTTACCAGTGGAAACATTTGCCCACCCAGCCCCTTTCAGTAAACACAAGATTCCTAACTGTTTTCTTTCATCTCTCTCTCTCTCTCTCTCTCTCTCTCTCTCTCTCGCTCTCTCTCTATCTCACTCTCTCTCCCTCTCTCTCTCGCTCTCTCTGGAGTTGATATGTTTTCTGGCTACTGCAACACTCTGTAGTGTAAACCCTGGAAATGATACCAAAACATCTAGAGAAAATCTATGAGACTAATATTTATCAGGGTAGGAGCATCCATTGTTTCCAACTCACACTATGTTTGGACATGATCTGATCGTTGATTAACTGAGTAGGTAAATAATGATGTAGCCAAGTTTACTTTCCAACTCAGGACACTATCAACACACCACTTTTGGTAACAACTCCATTGCTTCACACTATAATGCCAGCGTTTAGAGTTGGAGGGAGAAATACAGACAGAAACTGAGTTTGTAAAAGTCTACAGATCAGCTCTTCAGAGACCTCAGCACACCTGACTTTGCTTTTTAATCTCTCATGTGCTGCGGCTCAACTGCAGTGCTCTTATTTTATACTGTCTGTTTATATGGCAGTATACTCACAAACTGAGTTATTTTTATTAACATACTTTAGTTGCAGATTGTGTCGTATTAAAATGTGCATAGTGAAGTTTCAAGCACCTTATCAGAGTTCACAAAATGTCCCCACTCAAGGCTGTCCTCCATTGACTTAAAGTGCCTGTTTCCTGTAATAAGCATGGCCGTGAAGCAGCTGTGTCTCAGTATTTACTTGACAAGTAAATATTTTCAACTGATGCAAACTTTTGGTCAGTTCCTGAAAATATACTTGAGCTTGTAAATCTGGCTTCTCAGAAAAAATAGTGTCCCAAAAAAGGGTTTATAATCGTGATTAATTCTTGTATACTGAGTGTGAGTTCATATAGTTTTATGAAAAACACAGAACACATGAAGGTCACACACTGAGCATTAAAGAGAGTGAAGCATGACTACAAAGAAAAAACTGTATAGAGAAAGTTGAAGTACGCCCAGGGCTGAAAAGAAAGAAAGACTAATGTTGAATTCACTCTGTCTGCATTCTTATTGTGACCAGCAGGGGGACCCAATGGATGCATAAAAAGGGAGACTGTTTATAAGTCTGTGAAAAAATAATGCTACTTCTTACTTGATGAATCATATATAAATGCTTTTTTATAGTTTATGGTCTCAATAACTATTGTGCATGATTCATCGAATTATCAACAATTTGTCGAATTTTATGACAATGTTTACATTAAATTATCTAAATTAATAAAAAAATGTACTTAACCTGTTGTATTTGTTGTTGTTGAATTAGTACTTACCTCAAATGTTTTTAACAATTATCAAAGCCAGAGAGTCCTTAATTTTATAGTTGTTACGGGACGTGTCTTGTCGTGGCAGCCACCATGATAGAGCCATGACAGTCACGACATTTCCATTGTTGCCTTGGAAACACCGGATATTACATCAAAGACCGCCACACAAAGAAGCGGGAATTGCCACTAAAAGCTGACGTTCTGTTTCTGTATGTGCTGCTGCTGTGATAAAAAACTTCATGTGAATTTTACTTGGATGCATCGTCGTTAAAAATATTCTCTTACTCAGGTATCTTTCGCCTGTTCGTCTTCACTACGGTCAACCCAGAGTTAGTTTTCATCGAGGGTGGGGGGTGAAGTAGCATAGAGAACTCCCATGAGTCCATGACAGCCTCAAAGTCATCTTGTGTTATTGTATTGATTGGGAGCCCCCTGGTGGCAGAATTCTACAAACTGTGCCTTTAAAGATGAAAACATTGTCACCCTCACTCGTTAGCACCAGAGTTACTATTCGGTTCAAAATTGTAATTATTTTTTAAAACAATCCACGCCCTCAATGCCGGTCAAATTTTGCTTCTAAGCAGCCATCACTATTTGGGGCTGTAACTCTGATTAATGGAAACTGAATGTAAACCATCCCAGTTAATGGATGGCATATCATCAGTATTTTGAGCTCGCTGGAAATATCGGTAGTCGCGATCAGTAGTTGAGAGTAGTTAATGTGATGTTTATCAATTCATGGAGATGACACCCCTCTCCACTGGGGGCACTGTGGGTGCTTTGAATTCAGCTCAGGCACAAATGTGCTCTTCAGATCATACTGTACTTTCATGTTTTATTCTTTTTTTATTAAAGAATAATGCAACAATAAAATATTTTTTTTGTCTTAAACAAATACAAACACATAATTACTTAACAAATATTAGAAGGTACTGTGAGTAGTTTTCTGGGTACTTCTTTCATCTATGTGAAATATTGAATCGATATCATAGCATAGTGATCAATATCGAATCGAATCGTGACCCAAAGAATCGAAATTTAATTGAATTGTGAGATAGTGGACAATACCCAACTCTACTCTGTGATCAGCAACTTCAGAGCCCTGGATTCTTGTGTGCGCATAGCAATGATTACTCATAGTAATACTCCCACCCGAACTCTCAGGTATGTGGATGCTGGTCCCACCCTCTAGAACTCACTCCCAAAAAACATCCGAGACTGCCCCACACTCACCTCTTCATCACTGCCTACAACCACTAACTCCCCCCCTCCGCCCCTTACATTACTTCTTCGTTGTACTGTCCTCGTCGTTTTTTGTTTTTTTTGTTTTTTTTGTTTATGTTTTTGTCTAAGCGTCTTTGAGTTTTCAGAAAAGCGCTATATAAAACTATTGTATTAATTGTTCACTATTACTGACAGACCCAACACAATTCTCGATAACAAATTGGTTTAGTGTTAAACCGTAATGGCTGTGGATGGATTTCACCGCCACAGCAGTTATCAGGGCACCTTAGAGCTGTGGCCGACACAGACGAAGCAACCTGTGAGCCTAAATCGGTGGTCAACCTGTGCCTCAGGAGACGCATCGGGCTCTTTTGCTGCTCTCATTTAATGCTCCCTGTCTTTCAGTCGCTCGACGACTCACGCACTATACTCCGCCTAACTCTGATAAGAGCAGGTGATGACAGAGTGCTATCTATCTATAAAAGAAAGAGGAAGAAGCCTCTGTGGTGACTTCTCATTTAAAGTTGTTTTATAACATAACTTAGGCTACATTTCTCTCCATCCAGATTGTTGGTTCTGTTGTTTAATTAGCGCCAATACGAGTCTGATCCTACTCCATTAGCCTGCTGTATGTTATACAGACAGACTGACAGCAGTGTGTGATGGAGGAAATTCTCACTGGAGAGTTGTCGCATGTAATGTGGTAAATAAATTAATGAATATTTAGATCTATTGGTAATGTGATGGGCTGCATAAACTTCATTGAAAGGTTCAAATATGTTTTGTGGCTCCAGATGGATTTTTTGGAGGGGAGTGGCTCTTTAAATGGAAAAGGTTGCCAACCCCTGGCCTAAATCAATCTCAAGGCAAAACCAGTATGACTCAGTGTCTGTCAAATGGTAAAACTCTGTAAAAACCCACTAGTAAACCTGTGTATTTAAAGGTGTTATATACGTAAAGTTATTATAAGTATTATTATTAGCTCTGAATGTGGCCGAATCTATGCCTGTAAAAATCTGCTATCTTTTCTACATGAAGTATCCAATAAATAGTTACTAAATAAAGCTGAGTATAACCCTGGTTACTGCGTCGCATGTAAACACTTTCTTCTTTTTCTCACTTTTTAGGTCATGCAAGATAAAATCATCTGCCTTCCTCAGAGAATATCATCACCTCCAGAGAACACAAGCGAAGTGGATGTGAAGTCATTGTTACTACTGCAATCCAACATTTCAGCCGTACCAAGAGAAATGACAGGCCTAAAAACTGATCTGGACCTCCAACAGTACAGCTTCATCAACCAGATGTGCTATGAGAAGGCACTGCATTGGTATGCCAAATACTTTCCTTATTTAGTTCTGATTCACACTTTGGTTTTCATGGTGTGTAGCAACTTCTGGTTCAAATTCCCTGGCTCGAGCTCTAAAATAGAGCGTTTCATCTCCATGCTTGGCAAGTGCTTCGACTCTCCCTGGACCACACGAGCTTTGTCTGAGGTGTCTGGAGAGAATCCCGAAGAAAACGACCATAAAAAGAGCCCGACGACAAGGTCCAACATTGCTGTGTCTCCTGGAGAAGGAAGTCTGGAGAAGACACAGTCCCTCAGGTCTATTCCTGAGAAGGTTGTCGTTGAGAAGCCATCAGCAAGTGTTCTTGATAAAAAGGAGGGTGAACAAGCCAAAGCCCTTTTTGAAAAGGTAAAGAAGTTCCGTCTACACGTTGAAGAAGGAGACATTCTCTATCTAATGTATGTTCGGCAGACAGTATTCAAAGTGATTAAATTCCTCCTGATCATTGCCTATAACAGTTCTCTGGTGAATAAAGTAAGAAACAGAGTTCGCTGTGAAGTCGAGATCCAGGACATGACAGGCTACAAAGACTTTGAATGTAATCACACCATGGCTCACCTGTTTTCTAAGCTTTCTTACTGTTACTTGTGTTTAGTGGCTGTGTATGGACTAACCAGCCTCTACACCTCTTACTGGCTGTTTTACCGCTCGCTGAAAGAATACTCCTTTGAGTATGTGCGGCAGGAAACAGGGATTAATGATATCCCAGACGTCAAGAATGACTTTGCTTTCATGCTCCACATGATTGATCAGTACGACCCATTGTATTCAAAGCGATTTGCGGTTTTTCTTTCCGAGGTCAGTGAGAACAAACTGAAACAGCTCAACCTGAATCATGACTGGACTGCAGAGAAGTTACGTCAGAGACTCCAGACGAACACCAACAACCGGCTTGAACTCCAGCTGTTCATGCTCCCTGGGTTGCCTGACACCGTCTTTGAGTTGACAGAGCTTCAGTCACTGAAGCTAGAGATCATCAACAATATCACCATCCCCGCCTCAGTCTCTCAGCTGAAAGACCTCCAGGAGCTGTCTCTGTACCAGTGCTCTTTAAAGCTGCACACATCGGCTACCTCCTTCCTCAAAGAGAACCTGAAAGTGCTGCGTGTGAAGTTCGATGACAACAGGGAACTGCCGAACTGGATGTATGGCATGCGCAACTTAGAGGAGCTTTATCTCACTGGATCGCTAAGCCCTGATGCCTCCAAGAATATAGTTCTGGAGTCACTGCGGGAGTTGAAGTGTTTGAAAACTCTCTCCGTTAAAAGCAATTTGACCAAGATACCCCAGTCCATTGTGGATGTTTCCAGCCATCTGCAGCGGCTGTACTTACACAACGATGGCACTAAGTTAGTAATGCTCAACAACCTGAAAAAGATGTCCTATCTGATTGAGCTGGAGCTGGTGCGTTGTGATCTGGAGCGCATCCCACACGCAATCTTCAGCCTCACAAATCTGCAAGAGATTGACCTGAAAGAAAACCACCTACGCTCAATAGAGGAGATCATCAGCTTCCAACATCTGCGGAAACTGACCTGCCTCAAACTTTGGTACAATTGTATCACGTACATCCCAGAGCATATCAAGAAGCTGGGGAGCCTAGAGCGTCTCTACTTCAGCCACAACAAGATTGAGATATTGCCTTCACACTTGTTCTTGTGCAACAAGCTGCGCTACCTGGACCTGTCCAACAACGACATCCAATTCATTCCCCCAGAAATCGGAGTCCTTCAGAGTCTCCAGTATTTCTCTGTCACCTGTAACAAGCTAGAGAATCTACCAGATGAGCTCTTCTTTTGCAAAAAGCTGAAAACACTTAAGCTTGGTAAAAACTCACTGTCCATACTCTCACCTAAAATTTCCTACCTAGCTCTACTGACATACTTGGATCTCAAAGGCAACCACTTTGAGGTTCTGCCACAAGAGCTGGGTTGCTGTCGTGCTTTGAAACATAGTGGCCTTGTAGTGGAAGAGACACTGTTTGAAACTCTGCCTTCTGATGTCAGGGACCAAATGACGGCTGAGTGAGTTGCCTTCGAGTAGCTGCAGTGCCTGCTGCTTGTTCTGTCAGAGCATTTTTTGTGTTAAGGCATTACCATAATTAAGTATTATACTACTGTTGACAAAGTTAAGTTTTATTTTTCTAGATTCTTCATTGCAGGGAATTATTATCTATTCTTATTTTTTACAAAGATTTTGTGTTACAGAGTTAATTTACATGAAATATTATCCTACCACAAATCATCCTTTTTATTTTGATACTTTCTTTTTATTTATATTTTCAGAGTAAAACAAGACAAAAGAAAAGAAGGGAATAAAAAAAGGAAAGAAAAGAAAAAAGGAAACCTGGGGCATACATTAGTCAAAATACACAAATCAGGGTTTTTCATTTAAGATGAGTTACATTCCGTACAGTACATATTCCATTTCCTCCAGACTTTTATATATTGGTCAAACTTTAGCCTTAATGAGAAGGTCAGTCTCTCCATGCAGTGTATTTCGTTGATTATTGCTAACCACTAAAATTTAGACTGTAATTGAATGTTCAAGTCACCTGCACAGACTACAGTCCCTGATGACTCTTGTATTAATAGATTCAATTTTCTTTTGATGAAGGATGTATTGTGCCCTGGGGGCATATAAACATTTAGTAATGTAACTTCTTTATGGTCTATCCTGCCTCTAATTAGTATAAAACGGCCTTCCTTGTCTTTAATTTCAGCTGTTAGTTGGAAGTTTATCCTATTTGAAATTAGTATAGCCACACCCCTCTTACGGCCTGATTTGTGGGAGGAATAAAATGTGTTCAAAAATCCCATCTTTTTTTATTTCTCATGCTCTGCATTTGAGAGATGTGTCTCTTGCCAGAAAATCCCATCTGTACGTTCCCTTTTCATTTTAGCAATAATTTTGCTCCTTTTCACTGGATTATGTAACCCATTCACATTGAGTGTTATTACCTTATATTCCTGATTGTGCATTTACATTGTTTAACACTGTTCTTGATGGCCCACTGTAACCAAAAACATTCTATCCTTGAATTTAGGTAGGAACAAATACAAAAACATGAACAATACCAAACACAGTAAGGACAAAACAAACTCACTTCCAAAAAAGGAGAACAGGTATGCTCCTTGAATCTGAGGGGAAATCCTAGTTGAAGGTAAGGGCCCCTCTCGGGAGCAAGAAGAAAGATTGCTCCCAGAACTGCACAAAATAGCACACCCTTCTCCTTCAATACTCTTCGTATACCAGCATGCTCCCTTCTTTTCCTCATTGTTTCTGTCGGATAGTCGTGGTCGAAGTAAACTCGCCTCTCCTTATAGAAAATCTCTTTCTTTTTCCACGCGGCAGAGAGGACCTGGTTTTTAGTTTTATTCTCCAAAAAGTTTAACACAAAAGACCGCGGCGGCGCATCTTGGAGCGGTCTTGCGCCTCTTCTAGTGCCAGGTTACACTCCTCTACATCCGCGACACGCTGCTCCGCATCCTCAACTCGAGTTGTTGTGGTTTTCAGGTCCCCCCTGATATCTCCCAGGGCCTGGTTAATCTCGTCTCTAAACTCTGTCAACTCATTTTTCACGTTCCTCTCTTAATGTGTGACGAAAAGCACTCAGCTCCTTCTTTACATCGGCACGTATTGCCTTAATTTCAGCATGAATACTAGCAAGCTAGCTTCAATATGCTCGAGTCCACCTGTGCTAGGCGAGTTAGCACTACTTTCGTCGTCATACTCCATGGCTGTTTTCTCGTTTTTCTCTGGTCTTGTATTTGGTTTAACTTGTTTGTCCCCTTCCATATTTCGTGGGGTGTATAAACTTGTTAGAAAAATTGAATCCGGGGGAATATTCCTAGTTGGTGGGAGAGCGATCTGTCAGCCTGCCATTCTCTGCAGCGTGCCAACCGGAAGTCACCACAAATCATCCTTAAGGGAAACATGCAGCATTGTGGTGACCCACGCCTTTGATTTCTTGCAGAGAGTTATATTGTAAACTGTACAAAATATCTGATATGTGAACTACAGACAGTAGTGCTAAGCTTAGCTTAGCATAAATGCAAAAGCAGGAGCAAAAAAATAGCAATGTTCTTTGAGCACCTCTTACTGGGAAAAAAACACGTTATAGATGTTTTCTAACCTCTCCAAAAACACAACAAAACCAAAATGTAAAAAAGTACATTGAAGCAGAAATTACATGCTGGACTTTTCGTTTGTTTTCAGGCCATTGTTGAATCCTTTATGACAGAACCTGACAAAGTGGGGCATCCCTTTCCTTATCTTATGCTAAGCTATTTTTCTGACTTTAGCTACATATTTTACATACAAACAAAAATGATATCATGGGTCTCAGCCAACTCTCAAGCAGAGAAAAAAGTAATCCCATAGCCCAACATTTTGAACTTCATTTATGGTTCAAACGTATTTCATATCTTGCTGCACAGAATAATTTGATGACTGAATGTAAATCTAAAAAGAAGACCTCAAATAGGTCTAAGCTTTCAGCCTTAAGATTGTTAGACTTTTTATATTTTATGTTGCCCTTATAAAGCTTCTATTTTCCTAAAGACAGTGTAAGGTTACTGCAGTAGAGTAAATGCAATATAAAAAATATATATTATTTTTAGGTAAAAGAAGTACCTTGGCTAAATCTACTGCACTGTAGGAATTGGAAACTGAATTAAACTTAAGGGACGATGTCATGACGGTGTTTTTCTTATTGCTATCAAAATGTGCCCAATAAGTAGTATGCAGCCAACTACTAAATAATATATGTAACAAAAATGTTTTATATGATTGACCAATAAACATTGATTTATTTGAACATGTTGTTTCTTAGGTTACACTTTTTCAAAAGCTCTCTCAGCAAAAACAGTCTGTGTTAAAAAGAAATGTGCTGAGATAAATTATTCTTTCTTTGAAGTGATGCAATTTCCTGAGAAGTGCTACAGTTAAAATTGCAGGGAAAATAAAACTTAAAAAATACAAAAGTTTGACTTAACTAAAGAAGATAAGTCTATTATTATGGACAAATAAGGCACCGATGGAAAAAGAAGGTTGAAGAGAATGAGAATTAGATCGTCACATGGACATTTGCATAATTTTTCAAATACAATAAATTAAAACAAGTGAGGTGAATATGTTTATTACATTTAATAAAAACAATGCCACAATCATATTTATTAAAGGTGCACTATCCAGTTTTGGTAGAGAAAAGTGAAAGTTGGAGAAATTTACAGATTATGTGGTATATGTTCATAACTCTATACACAAACTGTCTTAAAGGAAAATTTGGTCCCTGTGACACTGAAGACAGAATGTAGTACTACATAGTGCACCTTTAATATAGATCTATAAAAATGAAAAAAAATTGAACTAAGAGTCTGTCTATGTTTCTTTTAGATTTTCCAACAGACAGTTGCCATTGCAGTAAACATTTATCAACACGTATCTTTTAGGGTAAATCATGTTTAATCATTGTTCCCTTTGCCGATATGTCTTCGAAAATATCAATGACAAAATATAATAATAAAGCTCCTGCGAGTTTATTGTACAGTTTATTTCATTGGGCTCCTAACAATATGTTAAAAATTAGACTGTATGCAAAGAATGAGATAAGATAATGAGGTATTAGTGCCGATAAAGAAAACAGGGCTTTGCTAACTCATCAATGACGTTAGAGAAAAATCTACAGACTCTCTTGAATGGTTCTTTCTGTTGAATATTTCATGTTACGTTTTGGGATGACAAAACAGATTATCAATTTTACGTGAAATTTCAGCAGCTGCACTTTGACGACGGTCCCTAACATCGGTGGGTCATCTCTCATCTGTGAGTCTGGTGCAAGGATAGCAACGCGGTTTTCTGTAAATTGTCGTTGTGTAAACCACAGCAGAACTGGTTTAAATTGATGGCTGAACTGTGTCGTGGAGATAGACCTCGGTGACGGTCTGTCTTTTTACAGTCTATGGTCTGAACCATAGGTCTGAACCGAGGACACTTGGAACAGCTGGTGTTGCGTGCCGGCTGTGTCGCCAGTCAGAGACGCAGCTGAGCGGACCCGACCATCTGAAGCGGAGTGGGGGGTAGACTGATAAGCTGTTTATATCCCGGCCAGCAGGCCCACGTTTTGACTGGAGCGAAGAATGGACGCCTTCATCCCCGCATTGAAACATGGCTTTTAAAAGGAGGTGTTACTCGGTACTGCTGGAATCGACATAACTGGACCAGGACTCCTAAAGGTGCGTATCTGTGCGTTAGGGTGCCGCTTCTCATCTAGTCTCATTCAATGTGTGAAATATCACCGATATTCTCTGGCCTATTATTGTTAGCTTTGAAACGTAGTGACACAGCAGCAGTAAAATGTGGTGCATTGATGTATTTTTAAAATGACTCGTGATTTTTTTTTTTTTTTGTGCTGTGTTTAAAAGCTCCACGGACATCAGGTCCACCTCCTTTTTTGTGTCCATGGATGCGTCTTGCTGCTGTAGCCGGTCTCAGCCTGCTCTGCAGCCTCAATGAAAATAGTGACCTTCATGCTTTACAGACAATAGACTGTAGTCGCAGTGGTGTAACATATATTTTCTAACTATAAAATAGCCTATATTTTGTCTAATAACCCACACGAAAACACAGTAAAAGCTTACATGTTAATTCGCCTGAATTTTCTATAGGCTACGATAATCTACAGCAAACCGAACAGTAAACATATCGTAGCTTCACAATGCCTGGAGTGGAAATAGATGCCTCCAGGCCTTAATATTTACAGTCCATGCTCTTGGCACGTGATTGTAAACTGTGTAGCCACCTCATTTGGAAGAAGCATAGAAATGATGTGCATAAAAAAACTCAAAGAAAAGCTATAGAAATGTTGCATTATGAATACACTTTGTACAGAGAGTTTATGTTGCATTTGGCTTGCACTGTCTCTCCAGACTACTTGTGTGCAGTGTCCTAGTTCCAGGGCTGTCTCATCTCTTAATCCATAACAATCTGATAATGCTGACCTCACAGCCTCTTTAAATATGTCTGGGAAACCTGGCATTGTTTGTAATTGGAAGACACACTCAGTCAGTGTATCTCTGAAGAGCTTAGCATCTCAACCTTTATGACTGCTCACATTGGCAGGTCTCTGTCCTTTACTGAAGCTAGTGAATTAAACGTATAGCAGGGAAAGCAACCAATAAAAGGAGCATCACATGCAATACAATATAGTTAACAAAGATTAAGTGTTTTCCAGGACATTCAATGTAAGCCAAGACTAAATCTTCAGTTGTTCTCTAATGGAGATTTGGAAGATTGACTCTGTCCATTTTTTGCATTTGGAATACAGGGGTTAGGGTTGTTTGTAATGTTGTGTCCATGTGGCTTAAAATTAGAGTAGAAATTAAATATCATGACACAAGAATGTACACTTATTCATTTCAACAACACTGTGTACAGGAATCAACACGTCTCTGTCAAAAGTTCACTTAAAAGTTCTGATTATTGTTTTGGCTGAACTGTACTAAAGGACCCTATAAATCTAATTTTTGGGTCTTTGTATATCTGGTCACACAGTGTTCTCACATTGAACTAGACCAGTGGAGAAGCCACCACTAATGATTAGTGATGTGAAAAGCAGTTCTTTTCAGTGTACTGAATCAGTAGAATCAGTTCAGTAAAGTGATTCGTTCAAAAGATTCGTTCACCGAATCGTTCAGTACTTCTCTGCAGCTCTGTCTGTGAATCAGAATTGAATAAGCTGAAACACGGCCGAACATTTAGTTCTGTTCGCGATCGTACTGAGAATAGCAGGTGGTGAATAATAAGCCAATGAGCTGAGAAGTTAGTTGGATAAAGCTACAGTTTGCAAACTGAAAGCTGTTAAAACAATCACATTTATTTTCCCCGACCGTTCTGTTCAGTACGTTCAGTACACAAATCACTCACTGACTGTACGACTGAGAGGGAGAGAGTGACTCGGAGGCGGAGCTCTTGTTCTGTTCGTTCACTGAACGAGAGCTCCGCTCTTCCTCTCAGTTCGTTCAGTGATTCATGTCGGAGCTGTCGTTCAGTTCGTTCAGTTCGTTCACTGAACGACAGCTCCGCTCTTCCTCTCAGTTCGTTCAGTGATTCATGTCGGAGCTGTCGTTCAGTTCGTTCAGTTCGTTCACTGAACGACAGCTCCGCTCTTCCTCTCAGTTCGTTCAGTGATTCATGTCGGAGCTGTCGTTCAGTTCGTTCAGTTCGTTCACTGAACGACAGCTCCGCTCTTCCTCTCAGTTCGTTCAGTTCGTTCAGTGAACGTGAACGAGCGAGACTGCGAGTCACCAGCCTCAGTCACACACACACACTGTACTGACTGAAACACGATCGTTAGTAGATGTTAAAACAGTCAGCTGAGTGAAATTAAGTTGGATATAAAAGCCGTTTGTAAACTGACAGCAGCTATAAAAAGCACATACATTTTCGCGACACCTAAATGTTAAGTAATATATTTTCTTGGAGACATGAGAGGGAGAAGTAGGGGCGGGCTTTAGAGACACAGAGCTCCCGACCGACTCCGTCCTGTTGGTTCAGTGTATCACTGACATGAAAGGAGAGGGAGGGCGGGCTTTGAGCGACTCTTACGGTCTAGAGAGAGATATGAGACGGGAGAGAGGAGAGCGCAACTGAAGTTGAGAAATAAACGACTCGTTTCAGTCAGTGATTCAGTTCAGTTCGTTCACCCAGATGATTCGTTCGTTTTGAACGAATCGTTCATGACCGACACATCACTACTAATGATGTCAATAGTGTTGTGACCAGAAATAAACTCTGTTGTCTAAGCAGTCTGGATATGTTCTTCACCGGAGCACGTAAAACTCATTGATGAGTAAAATACTGTAACAGACAAATACAATTGATATCATCAGTAAACTGTTGTAGATAATGACAAAGAGTGAGTTGTTACAAACTCTGTCCACTAAGATTATGTGGGATGAAAATGTATGTTTATCACCAGTTTGTAAGTTTTGAAGGCAGATGTCTTGTGGTGAATGTGAAATGTTAGATTTAAAACTGGCAAAGGATGCAACAACAACAACAACAACAACAACAACAACAACAACATCTCCCTCTACCAGTAGCTCTACTATTGTCTCAATCCTGTTTTCGGAAGCTAAGCTAAGGGACAAGATATTGTTATGCAACTCACAATAGGCTTACTTTAATGTACTTACATTCTGCTCAGCTAACCTACACACTGCTTGTCACAGCCAAGCAACTTTGTTGATAGTATTGCTAATGATGACGATAACAGTCCTATTTGACCTGCAGAAAGGAAATTTCCACCTGTTATATAAAAAGCCTGCCTGCTTAGACCCACTTTAGACAGAAGGAAAAGTATTGTGAGCAACACACTTTAAACGCGGATATGCAAACAAAAATGTTCTATACGCAATCATGATAAATCATCAGTGGCTAGACATTTTAATAGTCATAATCACACTCTGAGAGACTTACATTATATAGGCATAGAAGTTGTAAATATGCCAGGCAGAGCTGTGGACAGAGATGGAAATCCTTCTGCTGGGAGAAACCTTTTGATTCATTAATAATTAGGTACCCTGATTCCAAATGGTTTAAATGAGAAAATGTCATTTATTTGTTTATTGCAAACTGATCACAGACGTTTCTTAACTTGCTGTAAGACTTGTATTTTTGTTTTTTTGGGTAATTATAACATATCTGTACCTTGAGTTAAGAAGCTCATTTATAATGCTAATTTTCTACTCTGGTGTTGAAAGATGTATGGTAGGGACTCCCTCACTTGGGATGGACTAGTACCTATTTTGGACACAAGTATAAATTAGTCCCACCTGGGTATATTTGAGAAAATTGCCTGTTACACGCTGAAGAAGAGCTTCTGCTCGAAACGTTCGTGTGGCAATTGAAATACATTTTGGAGTGCTTTCCCTATTGTTTTTCATGTTTGAAAAGTTTAATAGGTCAGTGAAATGATAAGGTAACACCAGCCCTAACAGCAGGCAGGTGTCTGACAACAACACACATATTTATCAGAATAAGGCTTGTGTGGCCCTAAACTGAATTTTGATTAGCCCCCTCCCCCCGGCCTGGGTTGCAAGACACACAACATTTTCAGTGCCCCCAATTTTCATCACACAACTCATCAATTTACAAGACAAACTATTTCAATAAAAGATGTTTACCTAAAAATGGAACTTAAACAGGAAAGAAAATATAACACTAGTAGCAGTATTGTATGAATAGATCAAGTGTAATGATTACCTCTGTTATCTTTTGCAGGAATGTTCACCCTCACAGAAGTAGCCTCCCTGAACGACATCCAGCCAACTTATCGGATACTGAAACCATGGTGGGACGTCTTCATGGATTATCTTGGCATTGTCATGTTGATGTTGGCCATATTTTCTGGAACCATGCAGTTAACCCGGGACCAAGTGGTTTGTCTTCCCATTCTGGAGCCGACCACAGAGGATGCTGGGGGATTTCTAGCTTCCCAACCACCAGAGACAGTTGATAGTTTATGGAACAAAGAGAGCGCCATTGGAGAGCAAGCTGCTCCTTTAATGGCTAAAAAGCCTCCTGATATCATCACTCCTACAGTTCCATTCAAATCGCCGGAGACTTTTGGCCAGCCTCAGCCTACAGGTGTCAGGACCAAACTTGATTTTCAGCAGTATGTGTTTGTCAACCAGATGTGCTACCATGTTGCCCTGCCTTGGTATTCCAAGTATTTCCCATACCTCGCTCTGATCCACACAATTGTTCTTATGGTCAGCAGCAACTTCTGGTTCAAGTACCCAAAGACAAGTTCCAAAATAGAACACTTTGTTTCCATACTTGGAAAGTGTTTTGAATCCCCTTGGACTACCAAAGCACTGTCTGAGACTGCATGTGAGGACTCAGAGGAGAACAAACAAAGAATTGCCGGTGCCTCGTCCCTCCTGAAGCATCTGTCCACGAGCAGCGAGGAGGGGAGTCCAAACCAGTCCGCCCCAATGCTGAACAAATCCGGGGTTACATTTTCTGCTGAAAAGCTAGTTAGTGAAATTCCATCAATGACCATCTTGGACAAGAAAGACGGCGAGCAAGCAAAAGCCCTCTTCGAAAAAGTCCGGAAATTCCGCGCCCATGTGGAAGACAGTGACTTGATTTACAGGCTGTATGCCATTCAGACAGTCATCAAAACGGTCAAATTTATTCTGATCCTCTGCTACACAATGACATTTGTTGCCTCCATAGATTTCGACCATGTGTGTGAGCCTGAAATAAAGCATTTGACAGGATACAAAAAGTTCCAGTGTACGCACAACATGGCGTTCATGTTGAAGAAGCTCCTTGTTAGTTATATAGCTCTCATATGTGCTTATGGTATAATCTGCATATACACACTGTTCTGGCTTTTTAGGCGACCACTCAAAGAGTACTCCTTTGAAAAAGTCAGGGAGGAGAGCAGCTTTAGCGACATTCCAGATGTCAAAAATGACTTTGCGTTCCTCCTCCACATGGTCGACCAGTACGACCAGCTCTATTCAAAGCGTTTTGGTGTTTTTCTCTCCGAGGTGAGTGAGAACAAACTGCGGGAGATCAGCCTGAACCATGAGTGGACCTTCGAGAAGTTGAGGCAGCATGTTATACGCAATTCTCAAGACAAGTTGGAACTCCATCTGTTCATGCTCTCAGGAGTGCCAGATGCTGTGTTTGATCTCACAGATTTGGAAATCCTCAAACTAGAATTAATCCCAGAGGCCAGGATAACAGCAAAGATCTCACAAATGGTAAACCTTCAGGAGCTGCACTTCTATCACTGTCCTGCCAAAGTTGAACAGACGGCATTTATCTTTCTTCGTGATCACCTCCGGTGCCTTCATGTCAAATTCACAGATGTTGGGGAGATTCCTAGCTGGGTGTACATGTTGAAAAGTTTAAGGGAGCTGTACTTGGTTGGTAACCTGAACTCTGAAAACAACAAAATGATTGGACTCGAGTCTCTACGAGATCTCAGGCACTTAAAGATACTGCATCTCAAAAGCAACCTCACAAAGATCCCGACAAACATAACAGATCTGTCCCCGCATCTGATTAAGTTGGTTATTCATAATGATGGTACAAAACTCTTAGTGCTTAATAGTCTAAAGAAAATCCTGAATCTTGCTGAACTGGAGCTTCTGAACTGTGAGCTGGAGCGTATCCCCCATGCTATCTTCAGTTTGACTAACCTCCAAGAACTGGACCTAAAATCCAACAACATTCGCACCATTGAGGAAATCATCAGCTTTCAGCACCTCAAGAGACTGACGTGCCTCAAACTTTGGCACAACAAGATCATCACGATTCCATTGTCCATTAGCTATGTCAAAAACCTTGAGTCGCTCTATCTCTCACACAACAAACTCGAGTCACTACCCTCATCTTATTCACTCTTCTCAAGCTGAGGTACCTCGATGTCAGTCACAACTCTATCTCTGTAATACCATTGGAGGTTGGCTTTCTTCAGAACCTCCAGCATTTTGCCATTAACGCCAACAAAGTCGAGGTAGTTCCCAAGCAACTGTTCAAGTGCACCAAACTAAGGACCTTATGTCTCAGCCACAACTGCATCTCCTCCCTTCCAGAGAAAATTGGCCAACTCTCCCAGTTGACACACCTGGAACTGAAGGGAAACTGTCTTGATCGTCTTCCCGCTCAGCTTGGTCAGTGTGGTCTCTTGCGCAGGAGCTGCCTCATTGTGGAAGATCACCTCTTTGACTCGCTCCCCATGGAGATCAAAGAGAGCATCAATCAGGAAGCTAGCGTTTCTTTTCCAAATGGATGTAAATGTCTAAGTGATGGACGGTAGTCGCATTCCAAATGGCATGAAATGTCGAGCATCACCTTGGGTTCAAAGACGTTTTTATTTCTTTTTTCTTTAATCATGTCATTGTCACTATTATACTTCATGATGTGTTAGCAACTTAGCAAGAGTTGGTAACATTGGAGAAATTTTAGATAAACTCCAGAACGATCATGGGTTTTGTAACGCCAGTATACATATTCAGAATAAATTAAAGGAAAAAACGTGAATGCTTGAACCCCACTGTGAGGCAATGTACTAGAAATGTCCCTCTATAGTGGGCATTGTTGCTCGTATGATTTGGGTCTACTTGAAAGACTAACTTCAAATCTGATTGAAGTTAGTCCGGGAGTGGTTTGATTCGTATTATTATGAAGTTAATGTCCTTTACAGTCACCAGATTTCAGCCTAGTTGAACACAAATGAGAGATATCTAACTGAAGTGTTAAACAGCGACTTCCACACCCTCATTAAAACGTTAGGGAATGTTTTTTGGAGTTGTGTTAAATCCATCCAATAGAGTTCAGCGACATATAGTAATGGAAAGGGGCATTCTCCATATTCAGATAATGGTAATTTTCCTCTGTTGCCCTCTCAGGGCGGGAAGCTTAAATGCTGTAACATTATTGTACTGCTGTGACCTGACAATTGTTATCAGCTAATCACTTTTCTATTAAATACCAACTGAACTAAAATTCATAGTGAAAATTGAGAGGGCCATTGGCCCATTTTTCATGTTAAAACAACATATTCGATGACCTTAGCTTCTGTAACACAACAGACAATGTTAGCATTCTACCATAATCTACCAAACCTTACATTAGCAAGCAACTCTTTCTATTATACTCTTTTAGGACCCTTGTCCACCTAGCGTTTGTTTTTGGTCAGAAAAGGGCTGCACGTCTGTCCTCTCTCTATGACAGTCAGACAAGACACGATCTGTAGGCGGCAAAAATACAGGGAATGTCAGACATAAAAGAGCATCAGTGACGCCAACAGTGCCTTTCTGGAAAGTCGAAAGAGTTTCAACTTGGAGCACTGGGAGCGGCTGAACAAAAAAGTTGGAGTGCTCAGAAAGATGCTGGGCACTGTGCTTTTTCTCTGGGTGGCCACTTTCTGCTGTGAAAGCTCTCTACTCATTGAAAACAATTGAAAAAAAGAAAACGCTAGGTGGACTTGAGTCTAACCTTACGTTAAACAGTTATATTAGCCTTTAGCCAATTATTTGATAGGAAGTGTTATAATGTCATAGTGCTAGCTACTATAAGCATGACATTATAACAGCATTTAAGCTAACCACCCTCAGCATGATGGCAGAGGGAAAAGGTCCACCGTGTTTCTAGACATTTTAAGGGTTTCTTCCAGCATGTGGTGGAACATCACATCATTAAGACACTGTTGATTTTCACATTCCTCACAGTCGCTTTTTTACATTTGTTTTTCTTAATGTAGATGCACAGTTGCAGTAAGCTCTCTCATATATTTGACCTTTTGTATGCACGGACATCTATAGCAGAACTACAAACATTTGTATACCTTTTAAATTATAACCCGTTTTTATAATTATTTTGGGGATTTTGATGCCTTTATTGTAGAGATAGGACAGTGGATAGATTTGGAAATCAGGGACGGAGAGAGTCAGGAATGACATGCGGGAAAGGAGCCAAAGGTGGGATTCAAACCTGGGCTGCCTGCTTGGAGGACTCCAGGCTCCGTGCATGCGCACACTAGCGGGACCCCCACTATAACCCTTTTTAAACCTTAGATTTATTTGATTCCCTCCAGATTAGATCTAGATGCACTTGAGTGAGTTTTTTTTCAAGGGAAGGTTCACTCAATGACTGATATCAGCTTTGGTGTCTATGCTAATAGGTTTTTATATGCCTACGATTTGGAGTCTAAATACAAGAATGCAAACATTACAACAAAGTCTGCAGTGCTCCTGGTAGTGAATTACAGTATTTTTAAAAAACAAGACACTCCTCTCCAGAAAGAGCGTCTCTGTGACCTTTACATTTTTTACGCCTACATTTGATCAGCAAAAAAAATATTTGTGAATTCTGTTTACATTAAGTGTGTTGACTATCCGGAGTGACAAGACTTTGCTTGTCCAAATAGATTATTTTTAAATAAACTTTCAGTGCTGTAAGCACCATTAATAATACTGAGAGGAAAAACGTATTAAATCCCCAAGGAGAAATTACATTTGTAGACACATGTAGGCCAGTAATACACACACATGCACAGTCAGGATCCTGTGGTCATGAACTAATGTAGAGGGAGGGGCTGCCATCCAGAGTGCCAGAGTAGTTGGGGATTTGTTGTGCTGCTCAAGAACCTCTGCAGGGCTCGCTTAGTGAACTGGCCCCTCTTTAGCAACCAAACCAATTTCCATAATCTAGTCTGGATTGGGACTTGAACCGGCTATTCTCTGGTTCCCAACCTATATCCTACAGACTGAGCTACTGCCCCCCCCCCCCAATTTATGACAGTAAATTGAAAATAAGACTTAAAAAAAGATGAATACTGTAACTCCTGCTTCCAAGACCAGGAAAGTTTAATTTGGACTCTTACCACTCTTAGTCAAAAACACTTCATTAACAAAAACAACAACTGCGTACGTATGACCTTGTATCCTCATTAACCTTATGCATTCCACTTTCAATGTTCTTGTAAAACATTTTCATGTACACATCAGAAGAGATAAAGGTTCCTATCTGACCATTCTAGTCTACTTTTTTTGAAAAATCTGACCCATGCATTTATTTTTTATACATTTTCCCCCCCTTAAAGGAGCAGGCAGCAGTTAGTTCTTTATCCTGCTGACAGCTAACACACATCGATGTGTTTCTTTTTTTTGAAAACCTTTTCCCATCATCTTTTTATTGTTGTAAACGGTATAGTTATTATGTAATTAGTGTGTTCATTCTTTGTATTTATTACCTCATTATCTGTTCTGCTCACTGCACAGCACTTTATAAACCTGATTTATAAACGTGCTCTATGAATAAAGGAACTCTCACTGTTACATTGTTATGACTGTTTTTCAAAGATAGAAATGAAGCTGTATTCTCACTTCAAAGCTGGTTTTGCACCAAAAACACAATACATTTCCTTTTTTCTGTGTAACTCTACAGCTGATTACAAATATTCCTGGCTGCATATCATCAAATGAGAAGATTCACTGAACACTAGAAGGACGAGTGACAGATGATGAATCTGATGAAGCCGTGCGGGCGACACTCTTTATTGGTTTGAGAATATAATTAAATCAAAAGAAGTAATTCAGTCTTCATGTGTGCGGTGAATCTTCTCATTTTCTGTCTTATTTTAAAGCCTTTGACTTTAGATTTATGTGAATGATTTCATGCTAAATGTTTCTACAAAATGCACTTTATTCATAGCAGGATATTTTTATTTAATGGACAATAATTAAAAATTAACAACATAGTTATAGCCTGATGTAATACTTGTTTACACTTTATGACACAACATCTACAACATAAAATAATTATGTTTTTACAGAAGTTGACAATCGTTAAGTTAATGTTTAAGATTGGAATTTGAAATCACCTAAATGAGCGAACATTTCACATTTTTTCTTTGCTCCATTTTTGTTGTTACATTTACAACATGTGCTAAACACAGACTGAATTGTGTTCTGTTGTGTATTCTCTTATCGTAGCCTGTCCTATAACGAAGCTTCATTTCATGGACTGATGTTAATCAAAGCTCGGGCTGATAAATAAAGTTTTATGGTTGGCATGACTGACTTTTAAGAAGGTATTTGTAGGTTTGTTTGATTTTAAATTAATAAAATATATCACATTATTTCTTTTTACTGATCATGTGATAATCTGTGTGTGAGAGGAAGACACACAATGAAGCAGAACAATATATTTCACTGGCATACAGAACAATGTTAAATATGACATGTAACATGAATGACCCTCCTCTGACTTTGAAGACGGAGTTACTGCAGACAAATTCTCTCTTGTCTGAGAAGCTTTCATCTCAAGTCAGGTTAAAATTGGGGAACGGATAATGCTGGGAAACCCAAACTTAATAATTTAAGCAGAAAGACTTTATGGAGATGTCAGAGCTCCTCTCTTAAACACTTCGTCAGAATTGATCTGATGTTATTTAAAAACCACTGGACCTACAAAGTGATAAAACTTAGTGACATTTACCTTAGTAAAGTCTGTGACTGAGGGGAAAGACGTCCATGACAAACTGAACACATTTCTTACATAGTGCTGCCCTCTAGTGGAAGCAAACTGTTTGTACACATCATAACACTGAAAATTATTTTATACATTAAGTAAGACTGAGCTGAATACTTCATTTGATCTGGTTACCAGAGGCTCTTCTTTTGTCTAGATATCGGTTAATAATGAATTCATTACTCAGACTCTGCTCTATACTTAATTGAACTTGATGATAAATTTATTCAACAGACCTGTTTGAACAGAAAGTCAGCCAGCCATGTAACGTCAGCATAAAGCAGGCTTGACCTGCATCATATTTCTAATCAGTATATACTGTATATATACAACCTGATGTGCTGAGACCGTAGACTGTAAATATTCCTCTTTTAGTGTATGACAGAGACACCCACAGATGACTTTTGGTAGGTTTCCACCTCGTAAAGCCAACACTTCATACTCATGGATGTAGCTACCAGATGATTAGCAAACAATCAAGTTTATATTTAAAACATGGATCATTGACTTGACATATTTGATATTTTATCTATATAAAACTGCTCAGTATCATTTGGACTCATCATTTATTTAATCGTTTTTTAAAATTTTAGTCATACAAGGCAAGACAACCCAAGACAAAGTATGACGTGTACTCCTGCCCTTGGCCAGGTCACCCTTGTGAAAGAGATCTTGATCTCAATGGGTTAATTAGCTGGTTAAATAAAGGTTGAAAAAAAAAACCCACCTAGGACAGAACACAAAATTAAAAACAAATAAGTGTTTATTATCTTGTTTCACTTGACCTGAACGGGATGTTAAATTATCACTAACGTCTTCAAGTGTTTTATAAGTGCCCAACGTGTCATAGATCTCCTCTGGGTGTTGTGGTTTTAATAACCAGTCCTCAGACGTGCATGTTGGGTGAACTGGGGAGTCTGAATTGCTGATGGATTTGAAGTGAACAGTTGTTCAGCTGTATGTGAGGGTCAGGACGGTAAAATACTTTCAATATGTCCATGGTGTGCCTCCCTCCACCCCTTGTGAAAGCATTCACCCCCAATTGACCCTGCTTAGGATAACCAGAAAATGGGTTGAGATTTGACAGGTGGAAATCAAAGTTCTTTAAAATACAGATTATGATTTCAATTTGGATTAGGTTTTTCTGAAAAATGTCGTTCAGGCTATCCTTTCTGTCAGCATAAGTAAGGACTTTATTTATGTTTATGAATGAAATGCCAACAGCTACATCTCCTCTTGTGTTGCCTTCAGTAGCTCAGTGTGTAAGGAGGATCTCTGGTTCAGGTCCTGGTGCGGACCAAGTCGGGAAATTGGTCTGGTAGCTGGAGAGGTGACACTTCACTTTCTGTGCATTGTCAAGGTGCCTGTGAGCAAGGCACCCAGTCCCCTCATTCTGTTTTAGCCTAGCATTTTGTGTTTACCCGGCATTCACACATATAAACAGTCACTCTCTGAATTACACACAGAGAGCAAACATCATCACTGCAGACTTGATTGTGACAATTGTGCCATTTGGCTCTCCGGCTCCAGGCTGCGAGGAATAAACACATGTCGTGATAGCTCCGGCTGAGCAGCAGAGAGAGGAAGCATGACCTTAAGCCGGCCTGACATTGGGGTTGTTAGAAGTCCGCCATCAGGTGGACGAAGAAAACACACCGCCTACAGTCCAGCCTTCATTACTTCCTTGGAATCAAGCGATGGCCTTAGGACTCGTCACAAACACTTAGTGTGCACTTTTCCCTTACAGGGCCGCACTGCCAGCCAAATTTCTACCAAGTGGTCATCAGAGAACCAATGACCATGAGGCCACGCTGCATCCTGGGGACGGAGCTAACATGATGTCAATTTAAAAAGGTTGACTGGCTCCTCAATCTGTGCATCTCTTGTTTTTTTTACAGAGCATACAGTTTGACACATCAGCCGAGGAGACAAGTTATTGCTTTAACGACCTGCTGTGCCGTCTGGGTTTCTGATTTGATGTGAGCTGCCTGCTTTGTCCTTGGCAGTCAACATATTTTTTAATAAATGCAGGTGTTTATGGAGGATAATAAGCACTCATAAGTATCACTGTTTACAGCAACAAGACACTCATTTAAATCTGGTCTGTTGTGGCCAATTTATTTTCTTCCTGGTATCTCTGGTAATGAGACATAAGCATTTATTTGATGTAAACGTGTCTGTGCTGGGAATTTTCAGATCCGTATGTGGCCTGTTACTCTGCTGATGCCCCCGAGGAAAGCAGCAGATCTTCAGCGACAGCACTTTGTGAGCACTTGCACAGCTGATGAGCTGTAATTATGTTTTAATTATTTCTGTAGGGCATCATTCTCTCCCGACGTGAACCCCCTCCCCTCCCCCCCACGCTTGCAAATGAAGACATTGGGTATTTTGAAAACATTTGGTGATGAAACACTCGTCGGTGAAGTCCACTAATTACTGCACAGCCTCGTGTCAGCGCCCATAGACGTTGGCTTTGATGTCTGCTGCCCAGGATGATAATCAAGGGCACAGATCGCATGTGATTGGCTGTAATTGGGACAAGTTGTTTGAAAAAAAGGGCACCACATGACTTTGACGGCTGCTCCGAGACACTAACCCCACCCCACCCCGTCCTGTGCCCACGGGTGAGGAAGCCTTGTCACTTATTAAGGAGGCTGTTGCCATGAAGTGACAGATGTCCTGATGTGATCTGTCTGCATCTTTGGCCTCCATCTGTCTTGTTAGTACAAATAGTTACGGATGGTGTGAGGAGTGAGAGCTGTTGTTCTTTCATATATGTTAAATGCATTGGAAGCTCTTGTTTCTGGGAGCTGAAACTATCTCCCCTGGCAATCCTTCCATAACAATCTCTCAGCTCTTCTGTTTCAAGGTTTCTCTTCTCTCTCCTCCACCACTTCTGCAGGCCCTGATGTTTTGGGTTCAGTGCCACTGAACCATATCTGAATCTCCATTTTTTGCTCTGCTTTGCTCCCTGCTTGGCAAGAGAAAGATTAGGGGCTTGGGTCCTGAGGTGCGTCTCCCACCCTCTCTCTGGTCCTCACACCCTCCCTCTCTTCACCCATCCTCAGAGATTCAAATCCTTTTAGCTTCTTCCTCAGGTAAAATTGCCAAGGACCTTGTGAGCCCTAGGTTCCCCTGGAGGTAAAATCTATAATGGAGTTTTGATTTGGGCAAGAACAGCCTTGAAAATGGACTTCTTTAACCAGGTAGCTGCCTCGCAGAAGGTCAACAGTACTCCGGGTGGACACAACATGCCACAACTGTGTTAGAAAAAGGCAGAACAAAGGAACAGTTTTATTCCAAAAGAGAGTGACCTGTAGACACTGTGGTAAATAAAAAATCTGAGTGATGCATTGCTTTTTTAAATTTTCACAAACTGAATTATTCAGCAACACTCACAATATATCAGCATCAGGTAGCACCTTCAGCAGAATAAGCCCTGTTTTTACCCTCATGTGCGTCATATATTTACAACTTTATGACACAATAAATGACTTAATTTCTCAGCAAATTGCTCCAAATGAATTAAAATTAAGAAGGCAGGTGATGACTTCACACTAGATCTTGAATTTATGCCACCTAGCCTGAAAGATAGAGGGCACCAAAGCCTCAGTTTTGAAAAGACTACCTTTGAAATATCAGCACAGAAGACCTGAAAGAGTGTTTCTTCATTTCATTCGAAATCTCAGAATCTATCAGACGGTTACAGTTTGGTGTATGGGTTGAAATCTATTTTATTTTGAAATAAATAATTTTACAGGTATATGACATCACAGAAAAAAGGTGTCAATCAATTGATTTGAGTTTTTAAAATAATGATTATTATTATTATTATGAAAATAAAAGCTGTGACTACAAGCTCCTACAGCTGTTACATTAGCAGTTTAATTAGCAATAATCTGAGTTTTTAACTTTAGTAATCAGGATGCAATTTCATTTAGTTTGAGTTGATTCACTCACATGAAATAAGGCAAACAAGCACAATAATATAAGACTCAACATGTGTAAAAGGGAAAACTTCATAAGCTCTCTGAAGCTTGAGAGTAGAGACCCAAACACGACGCAAATGATATTTAAACAGATGTTTTCTAATTCGATTTAATAATAAGAAAATTAACCTACAGCAGGATTCATTATAACACCAGATGTTTTATGCTGCTAGACGGGTGACAGTCTTTTTTTTTTTTTTAGTTAGACATTTTACACAAATATGCTTCATTACCACTTTATTGATGTACCCTCTGCTGACTCTCAATTATTCATCAGCCACTCAAAAAAAAAACTGTTTGCTCTTCCTCAATTTATGCTCCGAATCAAAACAGAAATCACATCCCTGCTGCAGCTACAATCTTAGTTAATCAGCATCATTTAATGCACTTAGCAGCAGTGTTTCAAATTCAAATGAAACACTTGTGCAGAAAGCAGCCGCCGTCTGCCCTAGTTCTCATCGATGGTGGGTTTGTCAAAATGATGCAATTGGTCATTACCTCACATCAGACGCCTCGGAGACATAATTCTGCCTGACAGTTGGAT